CTATATAAAAGCAACAGAGCGCATCGACGAATCATTTCGAAACAGAGTGAAGAGGAGGAGTTCGATTCCACTGAACGGTCCTCAATGGCAAAAAGGAACTGTTTCACGAATAGGCCCCCGAAAGCTCGAAGCTCAAAACCAGTAAATAAAGACTACTTGCGATATTTCAGGGTCAGTTAAGCAACAACCAGAGGCTACTGCTAACATTTTTAAAGCTGATGCGTTACGAAACACAAAAAAACTCAAAAAAAACCTCGAAATGAGGAAGAAAATTTGTTTTTCGTCAATGATTCTTCTTCTATTCTCTCCAGTGTTCGTTCTTCCTTAAATTCTGATTTGACTTTGTGGCTACTGCTGTAATGCCTCTGAAAACCAATACTCATACAGAGGACAGATAAAATGTGAAAAATTCCCCTCCTCCTTCCCCCTCACCCTTCTCCCCAGCCCCGTCTTTTAAATACATAAAAAGCAGTAAAAGGAAACACTTAGGTATGCTAATGAGATTTTGAGTACCAGAAAAAGGCGAGAGGCTATTATACACGTATTTCAAGTACAATTAAAAGTACCGCAACCACTGCATAATTAAAATCGAGTTCAAAATTGAGGCAAAACATAATTTAATGTTTTTTTTTCTATTTTTCTTCTACAAATAAAACTCCAAAAGCTTACCATCGAATTCGTGGATGATACCGTTTCGCTGACTGTGATTTCCTGCTTCACCTGCACCATATCAGGAGCAGCACTGGGTTTGATTTCCTCGCTGGTTGCCTCTTCGTCCCTGTGTCGTTGCCTGGATTTCCTGGCCAATTTCTCGGCACGTTTATGCCAGTCTTTACGTTTAATTTTGAAATCTGTGATATCATCACCTAAAATTAACGTAGGGCAACTTAAAATGACTATAAACAATTTGTTATATAAAGTGCCATATGCATATCATCCTAGCATAAGCAACATGCGGAGCCAATATGCGACTTGATGGACCGAAACATTCCAGTCCAAATTTTATTTTTATTTTTAATTTTCAATTTTTTTCCATTTTCA